CAGACACTGGCTCCGGCTCTGGAACAGCAGACACTGGCTCCGGCGCTGCAACAGGCGAGACAGGCACGTCCAGGATTCGAGCTAAACGCTCCAAATAGTCACTTAGTATGCCCCCGATTGAGAGAATGGGTGTATCCAGATCCGTTTCTGACTGGTCAGACGGGACGTAAACAGTCACTGGCTGGGCAGACGGGACTCGAACGGTCTCTGGCTGGGCAGACGGGACTCGAACAGTCTCTGGCTGGGCAGACGGGACTCGAACAGTCTCTGGCTGGGCCGACGGGACTCGAACAGTCTCTGGCTGGGCCGACGGGACTCGAACAGTCTCTGGCTGGGCAGACGGGACTCGAACAGTCTCTGGCTGGGCAGACGGGACTCGAACAGTCTCGAACGGTCTCTGGCTGGGCAGACGGGACTCGAACAGTCTCGAACGGTCTCTGGCTGGGCAGACGGGACTCGAACGGTCTCTGGCTGGGCAGACGGGACTCGAACGGTCTCTGGCTGGGCAGACGGGACTCGAACGGTCTCTGGCTGGGCAGACGGGACTCGAACGGTCTCTGGCTGGGCAGACGGGACTCGAACGGTCTCTGGCTGGGCAGACGGGACTCGAACGGTCTCTGGCTGGGCAGACGGGACTCGAACGGTCTCTGGCTGGGCAGACGGGACTCGAACGGTCTCTGGCTGGGCAGACGGGACTCGAACAGTCTCTGGCTGGGCAGACGGGACTCGAACAGTCTCTGGCTGGGCCGACGGGACTCGAACAGTCTCTGGCTGGGCCGACGGGACTCGAACAGTCTCTGGCTGGGCAGACGGGACTCGAACAGTCTCTGGCTGGGCAGACGGGACTCGAACAGTCTCGAACGGTCTCTGGCTGGGCAGACGGGACTCGAACGGTCTCTGGCTGGGCAGACGGGACTCGAACGGTCTCTGGCTGGGCAGACGGGACTCGAACGGTCTCTGGCTGGGCAGACGGGACTCGAACGGTCTCTGGCTGGGCAGACGGGACTCGAACGGTCTCTGGCTGGGCAGACGGGACTCGAGCGGTCTCTGGCTGGGCAGACGGGACTCGAACGGTCTCTGGCTGGGCAGACGGGACTCGAACGGTCTCTGGCTGGGCAGACGGGACTCGAACGGTCTCTGGCTGGGCAGACGGGACTCGAACGGTCTCTGGCTGGGCAGACGGGACTCGAACGGTCTCTGGCTGGGCAGACGGGACTCGAACGGTCTCTGGCTGGGCAGACGGGACTCGAACGGTCTCTGGCTGGGCAGACGGGACTCGAACGGTCTCTGGCTGGGCAGACGGGACTCGAACGGTCTCTGGCTGGGCAGACGTGACGTGAACGGTCTCTGGCTGGGCAGACGTGACGTGAACGGTCTCTGGCTGGGCAGACGTGACGTGAACGGTCTCTGGCTGGGCAGACGTGACGTGAACGGTCTCTGGCTGGGCAGACGTGACGTTAACGGTCTCTGGCTGGGCAGACGTGACGTTAACGGTCTCTGGCTGGGCAGACGTGACGTTAACGGTCTCTGGCTGGGCAGACGTGACGTGAAGCGCAAGCTCGGTGTGGCTGACGTGAACAGTCTCTGGTACGGTCTCCGGGCACTTGAGGAGGCTGGAGGTCTTACCCCTCCTCCGCCGTCTCTGACGGTGATGTGCTGATTCCGTGCTGGATGAGATCAACGGCAGATGGAGTTCTGGACTGGACATCACCAGCCCAGGGTCGAGGAGTGATCGAAGCGGAGAGTGGTTCCGGGATTCACCACTGGCACCTCCTCTCCTGCGACCTCCGCGGGTCCCCGAAAACCTGGCCAGACGAGTTCCCTCGAATGATTCCCTTCTCTCGAAGGAAGGGATCTCGGGTAACTTTCTCACCCCGGCCTCTTCCGTGATACGAGCCCACAGAGCGAAACATTCGAAAATGTTCATACACGGTGGCACTTCTCCAGATTGTGACCTCTCCCCTACGGTGGCTGGGGAAGAGGACCAGAACCCCCTACTGCTGGAACTATTCATGACGGAGTCCTTCTGTCACGATCCACACACAGGAAAACAAGGGTAAGTTCCAAAAGCAGTAGTTTTATTAAGGATAATCCAAAATCGTAAACCAGTCCAAAGCAAGGGTTAAAATCCAAAAGGCAATCCAACATGAACAGGAACAAAACAAGAAACAAGGAAACTGGATAACAGAAGTAGCGTGATGCATACAAGGACTCCGTAACACATACTAAAACAGACAGGGTATATATACACAGGGAAATGACAATGCTAATGGGGAACAGGCTGAGTGCAATGATCAATGATAAGAGACAGCTGAGTGCAATGAAAAGACAAGGATCATGGGGAATGTAGTTCAAGAGTGTGATGGACACCGTGGGGAAGGAGGACATCTAGTGGTGACCCAAGGAACATAAACCAGACACTGTGACAGTGCCTGTATCTACTCTGAAATACTCTTAATGAGACATCATTTGATCACTCCTTTTATAATCAACTGGATTTTCAACACTAGAAGATCCGGCTTACATATTTAAGTAACTTCTGGCAGTTAGACCACCGTTCAAAAGTTTGGGGTCAGCATGATTTTTCAATTTTTATGAAAGAAGTCTCACTAAGGCTTAAAAACAGTCACAGTAAAAACAGTCAAACTGTATTACAATTTAAAAGAACGGTTTTCTATTTAAATATATTGTAAAATGTAATTTATTTCAGTGGTCAAAGCTGAATTTTCAGCATCAGTCTTCAGTGTCACATGATCCTTCAGAAATCATTCTAATATGCTGATTTGCTGCTCAACTTTTATTATTATCAATGTTGAAAACATTTGTACTGCAATGCTTATTATCGTTGCGAAAACTGTAATATTTGTTTCAGGATTATTTGATTAATAGAATGTTCAGAAGGACAGCATTTGTTTGAAATAGAACATTATTCATTTTTCTTTACTGTCTTTACTGTCACTTTTGATCAATTTAATGCATCCATTCTGAATAAAAATATTAATTTTACAAAGTATAAGTATAAATCTTACTGACTTTTGAATGGTAGTATATCTCATTATGTTCTAAAAAAGGCATTTTTAATATCTGAATTTGCTTATTTAATTTCATATAAGATATTGGCGCCTTAACCCCTTAGCTGTCACCCCCCCCTTTTGAGAATGGGGGTTAAAATGCACTATTTAAACTTAAATGGTTGTAATTCAAGAATGCTTTGGTATATATACCCAAGTTTGGTCTTGTTTTAAAGAAAATACTCAGCAGATTATTGCTGAAGTGAAAAGACTTCAAAAAATGAAAGTATGAAAAGGTTATGTAAGTTTAAATTTACAGTAAATCAAATATACTGTACTATATATTTTTTATTTTATATAAAATATATATTTTACAAAATATTTTTTACTCTAAAATTACTATAAAATCAAAGCCATAAATCTAACCAAGTTATGTTCCAAATTTGAAGTTGATATCACAAAAATTGAAGTTCCCATGAGATTTTGTTTAAGCGTAGTACCAAAAATAGCCACCGGGTGCCATTGAATTCCATTGAATTTAGTTGTAAACATTCTGCCTTAACAAATTAATAAATTTCTGTCCAAATATCAATTCTGTCACAAAATATGGAACCTTGAGACTCAGACCTTTCTGACAATATGTGTTTTGTCAAGATTAGAAAAGGTTTTGATCATAAATTATGAAATATAATGATGCCCAAAAGGGGAGGAGCCTGATAAAATAATTTAGAGTACCGTTTCTATGGTAACGCAACGTTCAATTATAAAACGGTTTTCACAGGAGGAATTCTGAGTTTATAAGCTTTCAAATGATACCTAATTTATGATAACTACTAAAATATGTGATATAATAAAAAAGGCGATAAAAAATATAATATTATATTTTAGAGGATAATATATATATATTATAATTTTTAGAGGATACTATTATATTACAATTTTTTATTGAAAAATACTAGATTATATGTTTTATTATGAACTTTTAGCATAAAAACATAAGTTTCAATGATTAAAAGTAGGTTTATCGACTTTTTGTGACAAAGGTCAGACCTCCTGTTATGATGCAGATTTTTTTAGCTGCACTCTTGTCATAAATTCATCAATTACTCTTCCTACATAATTTGTAACACAAAACAGAGGTAGAATATCTATTTAGAAGTCTTAGACCTTTCCAACAATATATAATTTGTCATAATTAGATTAGGATTTAATAAAAATATAGTGAAGTAAAGTTAGGCGTCCCGCTAGCGGGACGGTGACAGTTAAGGGGTCTATTTAAATAGTAGGGGACAGTTAAATAGTCTATTTTATAAATATTTGGACCTTTGCTGGGAAGGACATTTAGAGACTGGTGGTCTTCAATTTTGATTAGTTGAATACTGGGTTTGTTAAAATAACTACTTTATAAGTACCAATCAATGCATTTAATACAAAGGATTCAGGAAAGTAACATGAATTAAACCAGAGTAGTTTCTCTCTCTCTCTCTGGCGCTGGTCTGGCAGTCTTCTGTGTCCTGTGGATCTATATTGAGTGTACTGAGAACAGATTATTAGCTCATAACTGCAGCAGTGTGACCACTCATGTTCATCTGACCGGATCAACAGTGCTAAACTCGACCCGACCCGGATCTCACTTCGTGGAGGTCACGTGTGTGTGTGTGTTTACACACAGACACACACAGCAATATCGCTTGCTGTCAAACCATAGTTTTAGTTTAATAACACACCACATCACGTAAGTTTCAAACCAAACCTGACCTGATTTCTTTTAATTGACGCAAACCTAAATTCTGTTCTCCCCTGCAGGCAAAATAATTTTTGAAGCGTTCAACAAACTTCCACGCAATTGTTCCGTGTCATTATAAATACAGGCCTATGATTTTATTGCAAACCACAGTTCGACGTTCCTTATGTAAGGCCACTGCCAGCACTAGATGTGGTCACAGCAGAGTCATTAATGTTTTTGTCCGTTGTTTTGTGTTCCAACAGAGCTTCCAGTCTTCCAAAACCAGATGTGGCACCAAAGGTATGAGATTTACACACACATAAAGCCAGCGAGAGCGCACAACTGGAGTATTGTGAATGGATTGTTTGTGTGTATGTTATTATACCCCTCTAAGACACACACACAGCTCTATATGTATGCATGAGTTTTAGTTTTGCATGTTTATAGCAAAAGTGCGCCTCTGCGTTCAGTCTTGTATCGGTTGTGTTCAGAATAGAAAACTAGTACACTGCATTCTGAATTTAATAATGAAAACTACCTATTTTTCCCCCCAAATATTATATGAAACAGTAATTATATGTGTGCAATACTGGTGTCACATGATGCATGCTTCTCATTACACTGTATGTTTCATTTGGAAAGCTGCTGTCCATTTATAATCTCTGATAGATATGGTTATTTGCATTTATGCATTGCATTTATATGTATGCATTCGTCAGATGCTTTTATCTATGTATTGCATTCAAGCTGTACATTTGTATCAGTTCATGCATTTCCTGGGAATCGAACCCATGTCATTGGTGTCGTAAGCACTATGCTTTACTGTTTGAACTACAGGAATGCATTATTTGTCGTTTTTATTCCAGTTTTATGTCAAAATTCCTTAACTATTTGCTCATTTTTGATGATTCAAGATGGAGATGTTAAAAATTTGAATGGTTAATGATGCTTATTGTAAATAGCAAGTCTAATTATTTTTTAATATACAGTACACACTGCATACTGCTTTAAGAAATCACATCAGAATGGCATGCTACAGTAGCATGCTAATTATTTTATTTCTTCATTATAAAGTGTGTATACTATGCACAGTATGCACATTTTTGAAAAATATGCATTTTTAGTTTTCTTGATGTTTTAAATTCAATCAAAATGGCCAATCAATCAAAGTGCTCAGTAATCCTTACTGTTGGTTCATGTCAGCAATAAATGTCTGAAAATAAATTAATTTCTGGTGCTTTTTCACTGCAATAATGTGACATCAATGTCATTGCATAATACATGTACATTCTGTTTCACATACTATTTTTTAAATAGTATATACTGTGCAGTATTCAGTAAGCAGTCAGCTAGTATTCCATTCTGAACATATTGCTACACACTATTTAGGTTTTCAGCGGTGTAATGGCAGCTGCTGAATAACCCATTCGTTGTTGTGTGCTATCTGTTGATTTGTTGCATTACTGTTGTCGTTTTGTTTGAGTCCTGCATGTGCTTCCATTTAGGATGTTTCTGTGGAAATCATCAAACCCGTTCCCATGACAACCTGCATTCCATCTTCCTCTGACATCACAAACTCCACCCACATCACTTCATCATCCAATAGGGGTGCTCGTTCGTTTGGAGGGGCGGGGTCACCACACATAGCCTCCATTCCCTCCGCCGCATCTGCTTTTGCACTCGCCTCCTCAGCTCAAAGCCCTAATCCACTGGCTCCGCCTACTCCTACTGATGGCTCACCAAATCATATACCGTCGGTGCCCCGCCCTTCGGTGTATAACACACCCATCTATCTCTACTCCAATGAGAATGCCTGTGAAGTTGCCATGGGCCAGAGGCGGGGCCTGCTGGAAAGCCAGGGTGAGAGCTCTCAGCTGAATGGGTAAGAGTTTGATTGACAGTTTGATGCCCCACCCACCCTATAAACTTATCCTGCCTTCATGTGCTATCGGAAATTTCCTACTTCACACTTTTGAAGGTGAAAGTACGAGCTTGTCGCATTAAAGTGCTTTGCTGTCGGAAAGAACAAGAATCATGGAGGACACCATGTTTGTTCTTGTCTATTTATTGGGCAAATCTTATTAAAATCAAAGTGATATTTAGCGGTATTCATTGACAACCAAATAAACATTCACCGGTCACGTGCTATCTAGATAGTCCGCTTGCTGATGATTCTGGAATTTCGTTCAAATACAGGCTATTTCCGCTAAAACGTACAATATGCTTCAAATGGTTATTCATATATGTAAATATGCACTACTTTAACTAGACAAAGTGATGTAGCTGTTGTGAAAAAAACCCAATAAAGAATACCAGTCACAGCAGCAATCGTTCTCCCCTCGTCATGTTCAAAGTTTATGGCCCGCCCAACTTGGAAACTTGGATATCAAAATTATCACCGAACTTCCAAGTGGTAAACATGACTTGAGAGGGCGTTCATGTCCAATTTTTAACTAGGAAACTCGTGTTTATGATATTTCCGAAAGCATGTGAAGGCAGCAATAGAGCTCAAAAGTGACACCAACTTTTCAGAGGTCTGGGTTCTGAAAGTATATTTCCAATTAATTTTCTCCATAGACGTTTCAGAAAATACACAACCTACCAGCTCTGAGATGAATCACAACATTACAGCATTTGATTTGAAGGAAAAACAAATTGTTAATATAAGACAAAGGCGCAAGACTGTGTACTTGCAGGTTTGTTGGGTCTCTCTGGGTGATCAGGCTGGTCTGTTGGCTGGTTTTAGGGAGGATTTGGGCATCTTTAAGCCGGTCAGACTGGGAGACCACCTGGTTCGTCTTGCTAAACCAGCTTTTTCAACCAGCTAAACCAGGGCTGTTATAGTTAACTAAAACCATAAAAAACTTGAAATAAAATAAACATATTTTATTTCAGCTAGTTGCCAAAGAAACATTTCTCATTTTCATTTAGTTTAACTTAATGTACTAAAATAACTAAAACTGAAATGAAAATGTATTAAAAAAATAAAAAAATATAATTATAACACTACAAGTTGCAATACAAATATTTTTATCTTAAATTCTCTGCTTTCAAATGTTCAAACCCTCAAGCTTTTTACATTTGAACTTCTCCACGTTTTCTTTCGGTGGAATATTAGTTAAATGCTGTAAACTTCTGTACACAAAAATGTTGGAAAATATGCTAATGTGAATGTAAATAAAGTAACCTAGTGCGCATTACATTCCCAAATGCACATTAAAGTGGAGTTTGTGAGAAGCAGCATTTACTGTGAACCAGACTGCTCTGAAAACAAGCTCTTATAAGCTGTGAGCGTGAAAATAAACACAGCACTGCTCTTCATTCTGAACAGAAGGGTTCAGGGTCCCCTGGCGGATCCGACCGTTCAGGGTTCAGGGGACCATGGCGGATCCGACCGTTCAGGGTACCATGGCGGATCCGACCGTTCAGGGGACCATGGCGGTCCGACCGTTCAGGGGACCATGGCGGATCCGACCGTTCAGGGTACCATGGCGGATCCGACCGTTTAGGGGACCATGGCGGTCCGACCGTTCAGGGGACCATGGCGGATCCGACCGTTCAGGGTACCATGGCGGATCCGACCGTTCAGGGGACCATGGCGGATCCGACCGTTCAGGGTTCAGGGGATCATGGCGGATCCGACCGTTCAGGGGATCATGGCGGATCCGACCGTTCAGGGTTCAGGGGATCATGGCGGATCCGACCATTCAGTGTTCAGGGGACCATGGCGGATCCGACCGTTCAGGGTTCAGGGGATCATGGCGGATCCGACCGTTTAGGGTTCAGGGGACCATGGCGGATCCGACCGTTCAGGGGACCATGGCAGATCCGACCGTTCAGGGTTCAGGGGATCATGGCCAGGGCTCGACATAAGCAATGGCCCGATGGCCCGGGGGCAGTAAAAGAGTATGTCGGGCTAGTTGATTGGCCAGTCACTGGCCCGCGCGGGTCAGTGACTGGCCATCAGCAAAACAAACAGCAAACGTCATATACAGTGGCGCGAAGAGTGTCAATGTTACTTCAGGTTATTTATAACGTGTTAAAATGTCAAAGAACTATGAGGCTGATACGAGAAAGAGGACATTCCTAGTAGGGCAGGGCGGTAAATCGAGTTTGTAGTCTGCAGTATATCGATTTTTTTTTTTAAACGATATGGAATGAGGCAATACCGTTTCGATACAGTAGTTTGATACGAGCACATCTGAAAAATAGCGGAGGTCGCAGTGTGAGCTCCTGCAGTGAAAGAACATAGTACAATTTGTCCTAAACATGACACAAGCTTATACTGGTAAGATATAGTTAACAAGTTTAAAGTAGCTTGCCCTGTCAGATGCTCTGACAGATAGGCTAACGTTACTGTTGCTGACTGAGAGATAAATACTTGCGCTGTTTAATGCGTTTGAGACGTGGTGCTTTACTCAGTGCTTAACTTACATTTCATCGGTATATTCTCCATCTGTAAATGTTAGAAAGTCAAACAAATATGTCCATTTCACTGTCAGGAGAGGACGAGCTTCTGCAACTGAATCTCCGCTAAAATTCAAGCTCCCGTGAACGAGCGCCGCCGCGAGCACGCGCGCCTAACAGACGAGCACAATAGAAGAGTAGCGCAATAATTCTGACTAAAATATACATATTGCTAAAATATTTGTTGTTGGAGACAATAAATGTGCCAAATGTGGAATTTTAAACCTACAAGTATGTTTTTATGAAAGTGAGCATTATAATGGGGTAATCAAATGCAGGCTAATATAATTAGTTTGTGCTTTTGTTTTTATTTTCATTTTTAGTTTAGCCTTAGTCATTTTAAAAACAAAAGCATTATTTTTGCTTTTAGATTGTAATGTTACAATGTTAGAATCATAATGTAATATGATTTTAACAACCTTTTTGCACATAATATATTGCATAGCCTACATTACATTCCCTATATTTGTTTCCATATCCTTCAATATCAATATTGTTTGGATATCATTGAGCAGGATGTGAAATAACATTTTTTTTTAAATAAATACAGATTTTCTTTATCCAAATAGAAAAACGTAGAAAGTACCGAGATATATATCGTATATCGCCATTTAACCAAAAAATACCGAGATATGATTTTTTTGGCCACCGCAGTCCTAATTCCTAGTGTCATGGAAAACACAGTACACCTGGGTGGAGAAAGGCGATGAGGGCATGTACTGTTTCGTTTGCCGGAAATTTCCAACAAAAGCCGACCAAAATGCATAACCGGCCTGCCGACGGGCTATCTAAAGTGTAATCAAATTCCCCCCTAAACTTCTGCCAAGCCCCCCTAAAAATGTGTAAAAAAAAGTGTAAGCTACACAAATTTGTGTTCGCTTCAGTCTTGTTATAATCAGATTCAGCGCGTTCTTCATTTTTTCTTCATTGACAGTTTTTTAGGTCATAAATGTTAAACGAATGACAAAAATAATTAGGCAAAGTAATATACTTTTGTCTAATTTCGCCATTTTGAAATGAAAATAGGCCGTAATATTACTCATCATGTAATGTAATAATTAGTTTACTGTCATTGTGAGGGGCCAAGAAAAATTAATCCTAATGTATACAATAAATACAGTTTAATGGAAAAGTGCTTTTCCTTCTATTTCTTTCAGGGCCAGTAAAAATATAGAAGGGGCCAGTAAAATTCTGATCTACTGGCCCTGGGGGCCAGTGGGGATTTTTTTTTATGTTGAGCCCTGCATGGCGGATCCGACCGTTCAGGGGATCATGGCGGATCCGACTGTTCAGGGGACCATGGCGGAACCGACCGTTTAGGGTTCAGGGGACCATGGCGGATCCGACCGTTCAGGGGACCATGGCGGAACCGACCGTTTAGGGTTCAGGGGACCATGGCGGATCCGACCGTTCAGGGGACCATGGCGGAACCGACCGTTTAGGGTTCAGGGGACCATGGCGGATCCGACCGTTCAGGGGACCATGGCGGATCCGACCGTTCAGGGGACCATGGCGGATCCGACCGTTCAGGGTTCAGGGGATCGTTCAGGGTTCAAGGGACCATGGCGGATCCGACCGTTCAGGGCGCCAGGGCAGATCTGGAGTGTGTCGGGAACGGCCTCAAGTGGTAACTCACTTTTGAGCTCCATCGTCCCAGTTGAATTCCAGGCTGCTGTTTTTGGATGTCTAAATGATGCCAAAAAATATGCATCATATCCAAAATATCATTGTGTGTTTAGTTGGTTTCCATGATGTACCTCTCCACATTTTTTTTGTAATGTGCTTTAGCTGGTTGGATTAGAGCACAAGTACACAACAGCTGAGTTTTGAATACTTGGAAGACCAATATGCCAGATCATATCCATTTATCAGAAGTCATGCCAACATTTAAACCCAACCAAAGTAGGAATATTTCCATGCTTCCTCATTTTTGTCATTTTTCTTATTTGTTTAATATATTTTTTTGGGGTCTTTATTCCAGAATGTTGTTTCATGGTCTGAAGACTCTGGCAGCATCTCTCTGTATCTCTTTTCGTTCAGTGACGTACAGTATGTGAGATTTTGTTCGTTTATGAGTAGTTGTCACTGTCAGTGCCTCTGATGTACGTGTGTATATTTAGATCTGCGTAATGGTATCCGTTATCTGTTTTGGTGTGTGTGAATCAGGGCTCTCCCTTGGATAATGTCCCAGGGGAAGCTCAGATGTATTTCGAGTGTGTGCAAACCTCCCTTCTGGGTTTCATATTTTAATGATGGTTTTAAAGTGCTGATTGACATTTATTACGCAGAAGAACTATCTAATTACACGTGCTGATGCACACACACATTCTGGGACACACACACACACACGCACGTCTCATCAGATCAGTGTGTTTGTTGTGATGCATTTTGTTTTTTCTGTGTACTAATAACTTTAATAGTATAATATCAGCCTGATAACAGCGCAGATTATAGTTTAATAAACCCGTTCTGCTTTTCGTTAAATGCTTAGAATGGCATACTATTTTTTTGCAATATGCAGTATGTGTACATAGTAGTATGCATGGGACACTGGGCTGACCTATTATGCTACTATTTCATTCTGACCATTTGAGAGCATTATATTAGCTAGATAAAAAGGAGAGAAAGAGTAAAATATTATAGACGTGGGAGAGAAAACTGATGAAAACCAAATGCTTCTCGTCATAGTGTGCACTCATCTAATGGTTTCTCCTCCCTCTCTTGTAAACTCTGATAAATCCTCCTCATTATCCTCATACAGCTGTACATTAAAGAATCAAATCAGTGCCAAGCCTGTGTCTGTGATTTTTATAGGCAACTGTTGAGAAACCATATTCCTCCTTAATGCAACCCTGTGTGTACCTGGTTCTGGATACTGTAGGCTACTTAGTTTGAATGGAAATAATTCTTCTGGATTGAGTTTGTCTTGCTCTTTGTCGACCGATATGGTGTTTTTAATGGCTGATGCTGATATCAATATCTTAAGAGCAGGGTGGCATATATACAGTTTGTAATGTAATTTACAATTGCTTTATTTACACAATATTAATCTCACAGAATACATTTGAGAACAGAAAATGTGCACAATTTTGGGAACTGGTCTGGCCAATATATCGATCTACCACATTTTTATGTTGGTCTACAAACATTTATATATATGAGAAACTGAAAAAAAATTAATAAAAAGTTGAGTCAAATTGCAATAAAAATATCAAAAGTTTAAAAAGTAATTTAAAATATTATTTTATCCAAATATTATTTTATCCAAATATTAATATTTTATATGTAAATATTATTATTTACCTAAATATTCTATATTATTGTGGAAATCTTTCTGGTCACTATATAATTACTAGATGTACAGTAAATGCACAGTTAAATTAGCTGTTGTTTAATAATTCCTAATTTAATTCATTTGTATTTGTGCCTCAACCATCCACATTAGACAGTTTGATTGTTTTTTTAATGATATATATATATATATATATATATATATATAGCTGAAGCTGAAGACACACACAAACTATATATATATACATAAATATATATATATATAGTTTGTGTGTGTCTTCAGCTGTTGTCTGTCTCAGAGGGGTTTAGGTATCAGTGTTGTTGTGTATATATTGAGTTAGTGATGATTGTGTGTTTAATGGTTATTTTCTCCTCTATGTGCTTTTCAGCAGATGACTCCGGCCATAAAGTCAGTACCATATAGATGCTCCTTTCATTGTGTGTGTGTGTGTGTGTGTGTGTGTGTGTGTGTGTTGCCTAATATGACAGTTTTGTTTTGCTTTTTGTTTTTTTTTCCAGGGAAATCCCCAAATCTATTTTTTTTTTAATGGCAGCACTTTGCTTTTATTTAACTTTGTTTAAACTTAAACACTAAGACTTATGATTTTCACATGACAGACAAATAAGCAAAAAATAAACCAGTCACTAAGCAAATCATTAAAGTTTTACACAATCCCTTACAAAAGCTTACTGTGGCATACAGTTGACAAAGTGATGTATCAGATGCTAATGCCATGGTATTTGGATGTGTTTTGTAGCACTAAATGATTTCCATATTCATGGTATTTGGTAAAGAATACCATTGCAGTTATACCATGTCCAAAAATAAAAAGATAGAATTACCATGGTAATGATTTGAATGACCGCCATATTCATGTCCCATGGTATTTACTAAAAAAAAACATGGTAGTATTATTAGTACTTTTTTATTATTAATGTAGTATCGCTGATAATGTAACAACAATCCTGTCATTCCAAACCCCAAAGATAATTCTGTGCCTCCATTCACAGCTACAACTACCAATTTGACGCTTCAAAAAGTTCATTAAGAGATCGTAAAACTAATCCATATGAATTGAGCGATTTAGTCCAAATTTTCTGAGGAGACTCAATCGCTTTATATGATGAACAGGTTTGACTTAGGCTTTTCTTCACATATAAACATTGATCAGCGAACATAAACAGAAGCTCAAACGTTCTGCGAAACATGAGAATGAACCTCATTGGTTCTTGCTGAAGCTGAAGAGAATTATCCCAGATTTTATTTCAAAATATCTTCGTTTGTGTTCCGAGGATGAACGAAAGTCTTATGGGTTTAAAACGACATGAGGGGGAGTAATTGATGACAGAATTTTAATTTTGGGGTGAACTATCCCTTTAATACAGAGCGCACTCAAGCAAAGTAAAGCTGGGTTTGTGTTTCATTGTGTGTCTGTTTTCATTGCATGAGCTTGTTGACGTGAGTTTGATGATATGCATGTCATGTTCCAACTGAGATGTGTTTTATCGCAGTGGGGGTCTTCAGGTAGTCAGCTTTTTTTTACTCGCATATCGGTTTGTCAAACACACTGAGTTAGCAAATGAAACCTGCCAACACTCTTTCGTCACACACACGGTCCTCAGCCTCAGAGTTGATTTATTGACAGCTTATGAATGCTGTACGTGCCAGTACAGACGGGCTTTGGCACGATCAGTATGTACTGGATGTAAAAAAAAAAGTTTTTTTGAGAGAGATTGGATTGACGTAGCTTGTAGATTTCGGACGTCTTACTGAGGCTTCGTAAACCTGTTGCATGTCTTTTATTCCATGTGCAGCAGCGCCATCTTCTGGTCTCATGCATTTTAAACCTTCATTTCCTCAACTACAAAGTTTTCAGTTTCTTTGAGGATTTTAGAACTCAAAAGCTCATGTTTCTGGTTAAAATGATGTTCACTTGATTCAGTTTTTCAGATCTAAATTAGTGCTGTTCGAATTCAAGTTACTTTACAGGTTTTACTATGGCAACTACACAGGTCAAAATACCAGTTACAACAGTTACACCACAGTAAAACTGTAGAAATGTACTTGATAAAAAAGTACAGGAAAATTATTGCACAAGTTTCTTTTTAGGAAGACTATTAATTATGAGCCTGTTGCATGTGTTTATTTCCGTGTGCATCTACTGGTCTAGTGCATTTCTAACTTTCATTGCTTAAACTACAGAGTTGTTTCGTTTTCTTGGAAGATTTTGAAACTAAACGTTTTTAACTAATGAGTGCTTTTTATATTCAAGTTACATTACAAAGATTACCTTTGGTAACCACACAGTTGGAAAAATACCATAGTTGTACTCGATATTAATATGTGATATTAATTGCAAAAGTTACATTTTAATACTCATTTTAATATGAATTATGAGCCTGTGGCACATGTTTTGTTCCATGTGCAGCAGCGCCATCTACTGGTCGAGAGCATATTCTAACTTTCATTTCCCTTAACTTGAGTTCATTACTACAGTTACACTA